TTTCACATACCCAACAGATTCAAAACACTGCCAACCTAAATCCCACGACGTTGAAACCACGTGGCAATGCATTTCCCAGGTACCCTCCCGCCAAAAAAGCGCCTGAACGTAAACAGAGACTTGCGAAGGGCACATCGCCGCTACAAGAGCGTAGTAGACATTCTTCCTCGACTTCAATTCGAAAGTAAATCCCCTACACCCCAAAACTGAGAATCTAATACACATACCTAAGACAATCTCAAAACCATCCGGACTCCGCCTTCCTGGCTTGCTCGCAGTGGCGCCGCTGCAGCAACGACCGCCTCGGTTGCCACGCCGGGCCATGTGGCAGACGGCCTGGAAAGAGCCTGGCAGGGAAGGTGCTTCGGGCCCTATAAGTTCTTATGAAAAGGGTTTCAGAAGGTCTCCATGATAATTAGAGGCTGTTGTGGGGGTCGTAGAACGCGTCTTTGTCCTTTTAGGTGCTCACCACCAGGGTCTGACAAAAGGATTCTATGTTGGGGGCTAGCGAAACTGGTTTTCGGTCGGAGGCTCATCGTGCTGACTAAGACATCCTCCGGAAGGTGGGGGTTGGTTCGGATATAAACGAATCGATTTTGCATGGTTTTAAGTCCTGCGAGCTTCGGCTTTCGGCTTTAGTAGGGCTTGTCCACAAGCCAAGTGAGCCCACGAAACCCCCAAACGCAACCGACAGCCAACCAAGGGACCTTCAACAGTTATTATACTCGGGTTTGGGAGATCACAGCATACTTGTTACTTATATAGGGAGGGTGAGGGGATAACATGACCATCTATTCAGACCCCGAACCTGATGCAGTAGCCAAAACCTAGTAATGCCTAAACCCTGAACCCTAGTGACCCTAGTGCAAGTGTTTGAGCTCATGTGTCCAAGGCCGGTCCTCCAAAAACTGATCCAAGTGCCGCCGTGCAGTGGAAAGATCCTCGCAAAAACACAGCACCACCAACAGGACAGCTGAAGGTTCCCGGACCCTCCTCAAGCCCCCAAAAGACCCGAAGACCCTGACCGTACCCAGCATAACAACTCAAATATCTCTACACCATTGCAATAAATGCCTTACTCCGGAACCCTTAACCCAGATTGAACTCAGCTGAAACATGATGCTGCGGAAACTCCTGTCGTAGGCTACATAGTCCCTGCCATGTGTAATGGTATGTTCCCAATATATTGACTATTAGCGAATCATGCATGCATACCCTGGCTACCGAAAAATGCTATCATACCATAATTAATTTAATGGCCATTGCAAACCCTATCAGCGTCATTAGCTGGACGCACAACCATCACTTGTGGCATTTGGTGATTCAGTCCACCCTCTGTTCAGGTATACAACGGCAAATACTTGAACAAAAACCCGCGCCAGTGCAATGAGCAGTATGATGGGGCCCTATAAGCCTGCACACTATACCCAGGTGCCTCCGAGCTTGGCCAGTGGTACGGGACCCGCAGCGTGACCCAGGTTAGCAGTGCATCGGAGGGTGCCGAGTCCTCTTGCAAGTGCCGTGTCGACGGATTTTGTCGCTTCGGGGCTTTGGGCTGGACGGCCTCACAGCAGGTGCGAGTCCAAGGTTCAAAGGTTATGGATGTAGGTCCTAGTTATGTGATAAAGTTGCTCGGGATTGTGGTGTAAAGTTCAGACATTTGCCTCGAACCCTGGAAGGGCTAGGAGCAACTTGAGAACTCAGTCAGGAGAATTGAGTGATCGATTGGGCGAAGGCTTCGGCGCTCACACTCGGACACTGCAGGCGACGCATGTGGTTCGAGGTCTTGCTCAAGTGAAGCATCGAAACACAGCGAGCGTTATCAACAACAATCAAATCCCATAAGTGTCTCAACCTGCTACAATACGTCACCCGCTCGTACTCAATATCCATGTGTTCACAAACCTATTATAGTTATGGGCCTCAGGTCCGACATCTGCGAGGATCGTGCTTACACGGGATAGAGAAATATACCTACAAAGCCCCTAGAGGAAATTACTAGCGCCCCGGGAGCAGAGCAGGGAAGAAGAGCCCGATCCTTGGAATCCTCACGATTCCTGGTGAAACCCACTCCAGACTAGACCCCAGGGGGGTTGATGCCGTCATTGACCGTTGGTTCTCATCCACACCAACCAAAGAGAAAGATTGGGGGTTTAGGTTTTCGGGTTACGAAATTCACAACTCGGAGAATCCAGCAGAGGCAAGTGTTGAAGGCTTAGAGTTATAGGGCTTAGGGTAGCAATTAGGTGCGTCCTTGCACACCAAAACCCTGTAACCTTAGAGATGACAGCTGAACCCCACATTCCATAACCCCTTGACATGACATGTTCACTGTATTATAAGCATCTAGCAAGCAGGCAGGACTACTCACATTTGGCCTTTGGGAGCTTTAGAAGAGTGCTCAGTTCCATGGAGGTGCAACACTATCGCGAACTACTCAACGGCTGTAGCAATACAGAGAACCTCTGAAGCCGAAGTTCGCCATCACCGTGCCCTAGGCAAGTGGTCGCACGCCTGTCCTCCCCACGCGCGGTTGGCAGCGGAGGCATCTCTGCTTCCTACAGCTGGAAGATGCTCATGAAGAAAAGGAGATGCCCCGGTCATGTTTCCCGAAACCTAAGTAAGCTTCATAACCCAGATCATGTAAGTCGGTGCCCCGCGTGTCCACGAGTCCTCAATTACGGGAACAAATCTTAAAACAACAATAGCTAGCCCCCTATAACTAAAAGTATACTTCTGAACTGAAGGGTATTGGGCTCTCCAGGTATCTCTCGTCGAGTTTTTGTTTGATTTTCTCGGTCAGGCTCGGGTGTTGGGGCTCAGATTGCAGGATTTCGGGTGCACCAGCAAGTCTTACGGAGCTAATGTATGGGCCTTAATAATTAGAATAGGGTTTTGGGGCGTACGATACTGGAATTTTGCTAAGGCGCTCCCAAAATAGTGTAGGCAATTATTAAAGCCCCTATATTATGGGCAAGTCAACATTGAGTATTGACCCGACTTGTGTTGAGCATGCTGCTCGGTCCAAGGCCTAATTAGATGTATATACTATACACAAGGACAACCTTGACTATAAAAAGAAAGCAACCCTCAAACTAAACCGACAAGGAAATCTGGCATGAACCCTATACATCCTGATGCTATTGCCTCACTACTACAGGCCGAGCAGCGAACCGTCTTAAGATTTTAAACGTATGCCCTGTAGACCCAACCACACAACGCATCAGCAGCGAAGCTATGAAGTCAAGCCCTAGACCCTGAAACCCCCCCAAAACAAACCTAGCTGCTTCAGGACCTGTATAAGGAAATATACAGAAATCATGGCAACGAGCCGTAACAGATCGGCAAACAGGGTCTAGCTAAACTCTGAGCCTTAAGCTATGTCCTAGCATCCCGAGCCGCGGAAATCGGCCTCGCAAAAGCTCAGCGATTCCAGGAGCCATGCGTTGAAAGCCTCCGAGAGCCATTTGCTCGTTGAGTGTCTGCAGTCAGGTCGAGGCCCAGAGCTATAATGTAGGGGCCTTAACAATTAGAATAGGATTTTGCGGATTCCTTATTGTAGTTATAGTGTACAATATACTCCCAAGTCGTATTCTGAGGTGCCTTTGCTGATTAGAAGCCCCGTTGCCAAACTCTGGCAGATTCTAGAGTGCTTCGCACATGACAACCAGAACCAGCATGAACCTGCGCAGCCAGGCCTGAATAATTGCCAATACTATTTTGGGGGTTCCGTATAAAGTATTTTGTAACTATAAACAATATACCCCAAACCCTTTTCGAATTATTAAGGCGCCCATATTACAAGAACATATCCTGGCGTCCATCGGGGTCGGCAACCGTGGGCAAGGCTCCGCAACAAACAAGCACTGCACCGCAGGAGGACTCGGCCTTTCCATGACCCCTGAAACGATTTCTGCATTAGTTCGGATTTACCTACGACAGGCTTATAACACCAACAACTGGATACCAACACATCCGCGTTATTCCCTCTCCGGACACTTGGGCTGCTACCGACTTGTATCCTCAACGCATCAGCCGATTTCTGGCTGGAGTGTAAATACCTGTATCGACCAAAATGTACATGTTGGGTTGGGATCTGGTTTAGGATCGCAATCGGTCGCAGTTTGCGACCTTTCGCACATTTTCTTTTCATGGGAAGCCACTTCAACAACACCGCACTGCCTAAGACTCTTTGCAACCAAAAACCCTAGATGCCTAAACCCTGAAACCGGAATCGGTTCTGGCTATTCATCGCATCCAGACAACCCCAAACCCTAAACCCCCGCATCTTTTTTTGTCGGCATCCTCGCTGCAGCATCATGCAGAGTGCGGACCCAGCTCTGAGCTCGGACCCTGTGATTTCACATTTAGGGCGCTTATATAATGGTTTAGGCTTCGGTTTAGGGTTCTCGTTGAAGCTCCTTTTTGCTCCTGCCGAATCCCCAACTTGGGGTCTCGAGCTTCGGGTTTAGGCTTTGGATTTAAAGATTAGTGTTTGGCCCTAGGGCTCCAGTTACCTAAATAGTAGGTTACTCGGGTACATAATAGATGGTTAGTAACCCACTATTTAGGTAACTGGAGCCCTAGGGTGGGACTTACTAAATTGTTTATAAGGTCTCGGATCAGGAGGCAATCGCCGAGCCAGGCTCAGGCGGGACCCTGCGAATCGGCTTAATGTTGGAACTTCATCTCTGTATCTTTCTGAAAGCGGTCAAACCCTCCAATATTGCAGGAGCCCTAGTCAAGATTGTGTTCAGGGTTTTGAAGTACATCCGGGGGCTACACGTGGGCATCATTGCTACTTTTTCGGTGATTCCATATTTCCCTAAGGGTCCAAAGGACCTAATAATCATGTACTTGGGTTACGGATAGTAGTTTTGTAGGTTAGTATTCAGAAGAGTATATGACTATTGGGCACTTGGACCCTTAGGGCTTTACTATTCCATTCATCATTACCTAAACCGTAAACCCTAAACCCTATAAACCCTAAACCTATTTTACTAAGTGTGTCGAACAATGGGCCGGCGTCGCCGTCCAAACCAAATAGTCGGCCTATTGCAGGCGTTGGCAGCTAAGGTCCTCTTGGTTCCTGGCGTGTCCTGCAGGTGCGCTGGCTTTGTTCGGGTGTTGTAGGTTTAATTTGTATGGGGGGGATTGCAGCTCTGTATTTTCAAAGCTGTTCTGGCTGTCTATGAAATGCTGCAAGGCTTTAGCGGCCAGTCCCAGCATGACATGACGGTCTCAAAACACAAGTGTGCTTCAGAGGAAAGTCTGACTATGCAGCAGTACAAGCTCTCCCTACAAGACCTGCAGGATCATTCCGAATCATCCCCCATACGGTGTTTTCCCCACTCGACTTCGGGTTCGGGGTGTCAGGTATAGTCGGGGTTAGGCTTTCCGTCCTCGCAGCAGTCGCAGCTGCTGGGATTTGGCGGAAGCTTGCGGAGGGGATTGCCACTGCACGCCAGGGTCCTGGCGGCTCGCGAGCCGGCGGATTATCACTGGTAGGGCTTAGGGATTTGGGGCTTTGGGGTATAACTGCTAAGGTTTTTCGTTTCCTTACCCTCTTACTTTGAACACCCACTTTTCGGGGGAAACTGTACAAGAATATCATACTGAGGAACCCTGAAGATTTAGGTTTCTTAGGGTTCGCGTAGGGTCTCAGCTCCCTCGTGCTTCCTTACCTTAATACAGCAGAAGAGGCTGAGAACCCCCAGTCGCCCACCAAAGTTGCTAACCTTCACCGGTGATCATGGCAGGAGATAGAAAGCGATTAAGGGTCACCGAGTGGCCATGGGCATTAAGTTTCGCAGACATCGAGCAAATAGATGCAAGCAGGGTCTCTGCCTCCTCGGTTTCCGCGGAAGACCTAGATCGCTCCTGCCTTCGGCCCGAACAACCTCGAAACGAGGAGCTGAAACGCCCAGCCATGTAGGTTTTTCTGTTGTAACACTGTGGTAATTAGTGATATCTCATAGTAGTTCAAAGGAAAAGTCACTTAAATTGGAGAGAGCCGGGCTGGCAGACCAGTGCAGACTTGCAGGGATTTCAAGTTATCATCTTCGTGCTCCCTTGGACACGGCCAGGTGAGGATCGCAGCAGCTAAGGGCCTCTCTAGTATCCACATGGAAGCCCCCCTAAACCAAACAACCCAAACCTTAAACCTTAAACACATGTTGCTGTACATCTGGTTTAGGGTTTAGGGTGGCCTGCAACCACAAGCCCTGACATCCTGGTGTAAGGTCCTTACAACCCTGAACCCTCGCCTGAGGAGCTCGTATCCTCTGAAGTCTGGCAGCTCCTGGCGGTTCACAGTAGATCTTCACGGTTCAGGGTTTAGGAAGGATTTTTCCCCACCCGCCCAGCTGACTAAGTCGCACCGCTTTAGGAAGGTTTAGGATTCAGGGTTTAGATTTTTGAAGTTTAGAGTTCAGCATGAGAGAGCGGGAGAAGGACAAACCGGTTCGGTATTTTGTTTCTGCAGAACTTGATGGCTTTGTCACCTCTGCACGGGGCTTAAGCTTGCAACGGCCTAGAGGTAGAGGTTTTATAGAGTCAAATGCAGGGCGTTGTCGTCAATAGGGTTTAGGATATATCATCGTATAATTAGATAAGATAGGAACTACGGGGGGTTACGATGGCGACACACTTCTATATCAGTTCTAAGTTCTAAGGCCGTTGAAAGGACTTGAATCCACAGCTTACTGAGCGATTTTCACCTCTCCCTCCACCGCAAGGTCGATGCTGAGGTTCCCAAGCAATGCACTTCCAACTGTGGAAGCGCAGCTACCTTTGTGGCATTTCCCTGCAGAGCCCTAGTTACCCTAGTCGTCCATGCTAGATTCTAGAAATCTGCGCCTCAAGCGGATGTTGGGCAAGCGAGGGGGAAAGCTTCATCATGCTTCTGCTTGTAGTAGGACCTGCCCTCCCCCTCGCCCAGTTCTCTGAGGCGCACGCACGGTATGAAATTGCCAGCTTGAGCTCCGTAAGTTGTACTGTGCTCTCTACATCATTAATGATGATACGTTGCGCTTTGGCATGGTCTCGTTTTCGTCTGTTTACAAGCCTCTTCTGCAACATGAACGGCTTTTCGTTTTTGCATCGGTATGAATCCGAAGGCTATCTTCAGCTCTACAACCCTCTTTGGGAGCTCTAAACCCTCTTTGGGAGCTCTGAACCCTGAACCCTGACTCCTAAAACCTCATGAACCCTGACCTTGAAAGCCTTTGGACGCTGTACACCAACAAGCAGAGAGACCTCAGTCCTGCAATGCCCCATATCGCTAAGAACGATCCTATAGAGTTTCTTGTTAGATATTCTGCTGCACTTTACCCCAAAAACCTTATTCGAAGCGTTAAGGCTCCTCTATTTAATCCGACACAAGGTACGCAGGTTATGCATATTGAAGCACGCGTGATCCGAAAATGGGCCCATTACTAGGAATACCTTCTCTATCAAGACCCAGAAGATTGAGACAATAATACTCTCGCTGCACCGTTCTGGCCTGGATTTGGTTATCCTGGACGCAGATCTCGTTGACCTCGCCGCTCTCTCGCCCCTTCATCTCCCCAAGCCCTGGAATCCAGAAATATCTTCGGGCCGTATCCCTAACAGCCTACAGGATTAGGGTTTAGGGTTTTGGGATTTAGGGTTTAGGTTTTAGGGTTTAGGGTTTAGGGTAGACTTCAAGAAAAAACCAGACATGCAAAACGTGACAGAAGGCCATCATGCAATCTGTGAGGCTCACCTGTTCACGCGGCCCAGAATTGGCCCAGTACTGTGCCTGCTAGTAACCCTGACAAAACCTAATCCTTCTAGACCCCATCTAATAAATAAGCCTTGTAGAAATCTCATAGTAACCCATGAGAGATGACAAGTCGCCGATACTTGATCCGAGGGCAGCAAGTCTTGGCGGTGATTTAGAAAAATCGACACTTCATGGCATGACCCCAAGATGTGTCAAAGATGTTCTTTAGCGGGGCTCAAGCCCCAAACGCCTCAGCCGAAGCCGCACCTAATAGCAATGCCGGTCTTGATTAAGATGTGCAGCAACATGAACCTGAAAACCTAGCGCCTTCTCATCAACATACTGCCCCAAATTCTGCGAGGTATGGGAGCTCCACAAGTAAGAAGCCACAGCCTGCCAAAAAGAAGGGATCCTCACCGCAAGCACCCATGCTCCGGGACCCAGGAAGTCAAATCGGGCAGGGCGCCGCCGTGCTCGCCAAAGGAGGCAAGGCGAAAAGATGGTTGCTGTTGGCATAAAGCAGTCCGAGGCGATGGAGCCTCAATTCGGTTTAGGTTTAGGGTTTAGGGCTTAGGTTACGGACCGCAGGAATTGCGGTTTCCTCGTTTCGGAGTTGACACGGTGGCAGGGGGTACAGCATAGTACTACCTGTAGGTAGCAGAGGAGGGGGAGCAGTAGTAGCCTCCGTAGTCGTCGTGGTCGCCGCCGCCGTTGGCATTGTCGTCGTCGAAGTAGTAGTAGCACTTGCTCTTGTTGTTGTTGGTTGTTGCTGCTGTCGCTGTCGCTGTTGCTGTTGCTGTCGCTGCCACTGCCGCTGCCGGTGTTGTTGTTGTTGCAGCAATGATAGCAGCAGTAGAAATCGTCATCGTGGTGGTGGTGGTCGCGACAGTGGCAGTACTAACGAGAGTATCACCACCAATAACGGTGGTCGATGCAATCATAGCACAACTGGGCTAGCTTTGTTGCGAGTACACCCGCGTCGTCATCAGCGCAAACCACCGTGATCATCATCAAACATCGATATCATCAACGACCCCTAGACCGTCACTGCCATCCTACTACTACAGGGACACTCCGACTGTGGCGCAGAACCGAGAGACTACACTCGGAGCCCCTTACACCTTCCAAGCCGAAAGACTGCCCCGCACCCTCAATCTTCGACTGAGGTCCTAACACGAAACATGGCAGGCTCCAGCTCTCGGATCCACAAGGAAGGACGGGATGCTAAGGCTTACCGAGTCAGCCGCTAACATTGACGAGCAGTCCCGATAGTAACGATAGTGTCCTTTTCCGGGATGCGACAGACTACAAGTGCGATAACGGAACAATCCTACTAGCGCCGCAGTCACACATCTACGGTCCAAGATGTGAAGCTCCAGGCTACTTTCATCCTGGCTGCTGTGACAGATCCGGCAGCTCAGCCAGCTGGTTGTAGCTGACCTGATCACGAAGTTCCCTTGTAACACCTCTCAGTCTACTCTCCAAACCGGGCCCCGGAAGTAACCAAGCCCAACAAGCAACCTGTCTGACTCTGGTCAGAGATGAGTTCATGCCCACAGGTGCAAACCTGGTCTCTACAAGCCTTATCCCGCGGTGATCCTTCCGCATCTTAAATGCTAAAATCACCAAAGCCCTGGGCCCACTTCCCTCTAGGCCCACCCGCAACGCAGGCAAGCCAGCGAAGAGAAGGAACTCCACCCGCAACTCTGCAAAAAATCACCCTTCTCCTTGCTTTTTGAACCCAAAGCTACAGGGTTGATTCCTTCTTCCTACTGGGCCCAAGTCTCTAGACCCTAAATTTTAAAAAATCCTAAACCCTAACACGAAATTGAAAGCCCAAGGCGCGTCGAGCTCAACCAGCTCGATGTTGCGATCCAGCGGAGGGAGCACCTGCACATGGGTAGTTCTCTAAATCAGGGTCCCTTTTGGGGGTCCTTTTTATAAGGGTGGGGACCCCAAAAGGGACCCTAATTTAGAAAACTACCCACATGCAAAGCGAGGAGCGGGGGGGCTTTGGGTTTTGAGGTTTAGAGGGCCGGGGTCGATACCCATAGGCTCCATGGCAGATACCCATAGGCTCCATTGTGGTTCCTTTTTGGGATTACCTTATAGGATCCTAAATATGAGCCACAAAAAGGAACTGCCATGGAGCCTATGGGTAGGGCTACAGGGTGCATGTCTACGGGTCTCGATTTTGAAGTCCCGGGCTGAGGAGTTGAGTGTCGGGGTTCAGGGTGCTGGGGGTTGGGGGATGAGAGTTCGGACCCTAAACCAAAACAAAACACCGAGCCCCAAACCTTTGAGCTAGGGTCTATGGCCCTAAAACTGAACGGGGAACGAGAGAGCCCGAGAAACTTTAATAGAGACTCATCTATTTCAGTAGGACACCCAATGCAGCAGTCAAGTGTTTGAGTGTCAACAGCACAAATCATCTCGCCCGGGTTGATTAAAATGACGTTGTGAGCATTGAAGAGCAAGACGACACCTGCAAACAGGCCGCGTAAACCCTCCACTTACTCGAATACTTTTTCTTCACCTAAACGGCCTTATGTGTAGCAACTCCGACACATCCAACATCCAACATCTTGAAATCAACCCCACACCCACCCCTCAGCCCCCCAAAAAATGTAGGCTTAAGCTCGGAGTCCAGGCCTGCAGGTCATTGAAGGAGACATCGAGGCGCTGGAGGGATCGCATGTGACCTCGTGGGCTTTTTGGGGAAGACTCACGCGACTTGACCTGTATTGACAATGCTTCACAGAAGGCCTTATACTTGGAGGATCAACGGACTTAGTGAGCAGGATATAATCACGGATATAACCCGGAGTTTGAGCACTCAAACACCCGGCTATAATCTGGTGGCGCGGTACCCCTGATCCTCAACCATGGCAGAGACTCCCCTCTGAAATGTGCCGAGCCACTGAGATCAGGCAAGCGAATGAGCTTGTTCCTCGGTTGAAGGTCTATCTAGGGTACAAGTACTTTGGCTCCGCACGGCTGTCTGTTACCAATTCTCGTTGTGCTTATGCAGTGTTCAGGGCTTCGAGGGTTTAGAAGGTTCAGGGTGTTGGTTTAGGGTTTAGGGATATAAGGACCTGAAGGCTTTCTGGGATTAGGCTTCAGGGCTTTGTCGTATATTTTGCTTTTGAGAGGGCTGTATGTGACTTCCTCAGGATTTTTGAGATCTGATTGGGCTTTGGGTACTAGGGCCTTTGCATTTGCGGATTGGTGAGTGGCGTGCACACGCAGCATCCTGGTCGATTGTCGTGACGTCCCCATGAGGAAACCCTAAACCCTAAACCCTAAGCCCCCTAAACCCTAAACCCTTAATTTAAAGTTTACCTGTGACCTGAAGCCTCGGAGTTGACGAGCAACAAAGCTGCACGCCGTACCCCGCACCCGCCCCTGCCCAGTCTAGAATGGTACGCCCAACATCAATAATAAGCCCTGTAATGGTACCCCTGCATGATCTCCCATATATGTCAACCTTTTAGGAGTTTAGACTAGTGCTCATGTCATGTCAAGGGCTGCTATTCCGGGATGTTGCATCAAGCTGGGGTTCAAAAGCGGCTCCCTTTGAGGGAGTCAGTGACGTCCAACGCTGCGGATGTCGGGTCTTTGTGGAATAAACCTTTCCCTACCAAGTTCAACCAATCGAAAGTCTTCCGGGAAACCGTGCCGCTGAATTTGCCGGAATCGAAACTATGGTATGATGCAGCTACTGTCCCGGTATAGGCGTTAGGTTGAGGGTTCGGGGTCTGACTTTTTGAGTTTATAGAGTTTAGGGTCGCGTCTCCTCAGCATCTGATTTTTGGCACCCCAATCGCCGTTGATGACAGGTGCTGCTGCACACGAAGCCCGTCCCTCGCATGGTAGCAGGGCCCCAGACGCCCGAAGGGATCTGAAGATTGAGTCACGCATAAGACCCGTGGTACTCCTTCTATAAGCATGTGCTTAGCCAGCTCCTAATTAACCCTTGCAGATCTCGTTTTAGATCCCTTTAGGGGGTTGCGGGCAGGAGCAAATTATCGGACAGGCTCGCTGATTACGAGTCAGGTCCAAGCCAACTGTCCCAAGAAAGAGCAAGATGCCTCTCGAAGGAAGGTTGTGCTTTCCATGCTGTAAGGTTGTATGGCTAGTCATTCTTAAGGTCCATATTGCCATCCCCAGTAAGTACAGTAGCGAAGTTGAAAAAACTCCCTTATGTCATCTTTGGACATTTGGCTCCCGGATGTGTATCGGCTTTTGGCCAGCAAGCTCTGAACTCTAAGTCAGAGCATAGGAGGTAACAACTTCGCATCGACCCCTCTCCACTTTCAAGACTAGGTCCTGCCAGATACTATGAAGCGAGAATCCTGTTGCGACTCTCCTGGCTACAGGATCTGTAGCTCTAAGCCTACGCCACCGTTCTTCTGGCACTGGCTCAGCCCCCAAGCGCAAGGATCTTCTGAGCCTGAAGCCTCTGCATCATGGGCTCAAACTCCTTTGCGGCGCTTGCACAGGGCGGGAGTCTGGCCAGTATCTGAACCCCAAGGGTATGTAGAACAATAGCCCCAAATAAGGTTTGGGCCGATAAATCTAATTTGGCCTACTTTTAAGCGTTAAGATAAGGCTCAGGATCTTCAAGATGGGGGCTTTAGGTCCTGGACGGAGCCCTGGACATCTCTCTTATTCACCCCCGGGGAACTCCTCAAAGATACCTGTGAGACTCCGTCATGAGCACAGCTGCTACTATGTTACCACAGTTGTCATAACTATGAACAATCGTTCGTGTACGCTCTGTTTGGCGTTCTTACTCTTACTATGACTACTCTGTTTACTCTTCTGGGTCTTTTGCCCTTAATTAACGGTATCACTCTTACGCTGACTATTTATGCTCTTGTGACCCTGCTTTCTCCCATCAATCCTGAGTTTCTTGCTCTTATCACTCTCAACATTCTTATTGCTCTTATAACGTTTATTCCTCTCTCTACATATTCGTCTCACTACTCTGAATTCTCTGAGTCCTGCTTGCGCTTCTCAGCCTGCGATCTGCCTTCCTCACCGGCTGCAGAATCTGCCGAGCTACGCTTCGGCGAGGCACAGCCATCTGAGGATTAAGGATCCGGGTTTGGGGATCAGGGTTTAGAGAGGTTTTGCGCAAGATTGGGAGATTGGGTAGGGACCTCAGGAAGATGCACAAGGGAAGCTGTAACAATGTGTCACTGTGACTGGTCCTGCCAAGAACAATCTTGATAAGTTACCTGCATGTTTGTTTGGGGGGGCTTCGAAGTAACTTGCCCATCTGGGTTCAAGGATCGAGATGCCTCGATGTGCTAAAATCAAAATCGAAGCACCCGGATGAGCTGAGATCTGTCTATCTGGAGATCATCGCAATCTTCGACAAGAACCGTCGACATGAACAATTATCGCTGAGACCATCGCTAGGGTCTAGGTGCTAGGATATCCAGATGCTTCGACGTCATGCCGCCCCACCCAAGAAAGCTTGAACGACTGTATCTTGCAAGTCACGAAGAGCCTTCCAAACACACCAGCACGGTTGCAGCTCAAACATCGCTGAACTTGGCCGAGCCCGCCAAGTGTCTAGAGTCTAGTCACTCTCGTCGAGGGCATGCTGTGACAGCGGCTAATTTCATGAACCCCGGCCTGCGCAAATCCATCCAAAGTCGGCTTTCCAAGCGCGAGCTTGGAGGCGTCGGGCCTCTGCCGCGTCTCTCTCCTGGTCTGTGAGGTAGGGCATGTCGGACATCATCTCCTTACAAAAGCCTGCGCAGAAATCGTCCTCGCCATGGCGGCTTAAGAGGCAAGATCGGGATCGGAGGGCGGCATCTGCAACCTTTGCAATGGCGACTGCCGCTGCAACTGCTGTCAGACAAGGTCCCAGGAAGCATGCGCCATTGACCGAGACTTTGCCCGTGGAGCTTATACCGGAATGCAGTCCAAGAGGCAACGAAACTGCCTTGCATAGCTGATCGAACCACACACGTGACTTTCTCCAGGAGGGGTGAAAGGAGTCGTCACTTGAAGCCTTCTTGACAGTCACCTGCGTTTTGCAATCCTTGTCCGCCCCCGCATCTAAGGCCTCATGCACATCGCGGAAAGCATCCATGTTCCAACGCAAGTTCGCAAGATTCGACTGCAAGATCTTGAAGGCGTTGGCCCTTTCACCCTCGTAGCTAGATTTGTCGAAGCGGTCCAAGATCTTGGAAAGGCGTGAAGCGTTCTTTAGCTGCGCCTGGGTGATTCCAGGAAATGGCGACTCAATACCACCCAGAGAAGCTATGAAAGCTTGAGCAAAGCGCCTGATCTTCTCTTTGTCGACAACGTCGCGGCATCGCACGGAAAGGCGGAAGTGATGATCCAATCCCGAGTCGCGACAGAACACAGCGCCACTGAAAGCAACCACCTCTGGGCAAGCAACGGGCACATGCTTGGCTACGTTGTCCATGGCCCAAACTTGGCAGCCTGCTGCTACAGCAGTTGTAGAAGAGATGGCTTGCAACAGGCTGTGCTTTACCAGGTACGGTCACCTTGTGCAGGCACCCAATTCTAGGATCTCCACCAGCAAGCATAAGGCATAATAAAGCCACGCAGGTAACTGTATCAAACGAGGACACGGGCAGGAAGGCAGGCAGATAGATAAGGTAGGGACAGTAGATAAAGCAGGAAAGGTGGGTAAGACAAAGTAGGGAAAACTCCCCAATCCCCTATACCCCTGTGGTCGAGTGGCCCTGGCACAAGGAGCTCCAAAATCTTGGAGTGGAGAGGACCAAGCTCCTCGATGAGATCTAAACGCTCAACCGGGGGGTTGCGGGTTTGACTCCCGACTCCTATAGACCTTAAACATAAGGGCAAGGCTGGATGTCGAATGCTATCATCAGACATTAGCAGTTTCCCATTTTCGCAACCATGACCTGGGCAAGCAATTCGACTGAGTTCAGCCAGATTGGCCTCAACTCTGAAACAGAACCCTCGACACCCTGACTGTCTCAAGATCGGTGGGACCGCACGCGGTTTGGGCGGAAACTTGCCGCAAAAGTGTTCGCAAACGAAAGGAGAAGCAACTTGGGGCAGCATCATGAAAACCCCAAACCCCAAGCCAAGCCAAGGGAATCTGCGACCAGCTTCTGTCTTCTTGTGACTCGATTGGGTCTCAGACAACCCTGAACCCTAGCCCTAAACCCCTACACCCTGAACCCTAAACCCCAAACCCCCCATGCCCCGTAAAACTCTGAACCGTAACTTATTCGAGGTGCTGGCTCGGCCTTCAACGAAAGTTTCTCTGGTTTTGGGAGGCTGTGTGAGCTACGGCAGTTCCACGGACATTGTCAGGCTTGCATGGAGTTGTGAGGGTCATGTCCAAGTAAACCCATCCAATCCTGATGGAAAAATCTTCAGCTAGGTCCTATAAGCACTAGCCGCCCTGAAACACTAAGCCTTCGTTTTGGGCCCTAAATCCGATACCCTGACAATTCCGACATCGCTATTGCACCCGAAGCCTTGATGCCTATGCCTTCAGGTGAGCCCTAAGCCGTCTAGAGCACCTAAATTATTGCTTTTCAGTAACACATGTCCCAAACCGTGACACCCCCAAAATATGATATCCCTCAAACCCCTGCTCGAATCAGTTAAGGCAGCCTTTTAACACCAGAGGACCACAGACAAAAACATTATTTTACCTCGCACATCCCCACCCTACAAACAACACCACTGACTGGCGTTACGGTCGTGGGGTCCCCGTACAAGAAACAACACACGAGTGTTCGATTCAGGTCATTCGACGACCCATGCATGGGGTCACACCACTGAGTGGCGACACGGTCGTGGGGTCCCGTACACAAACCAAAACACGTGTTCGATTCAGTGATTCAGGTCAGTCGACGATCCATGGGGGCACACCGCCCGCTGACTGGCGTTAAAGTCCTGGGGTCCCCCGGTTGGGCACTCCAGGGAGTCTACGGAAGTCTCTGATTTGGGCACTCCAGGGAGTCTCACGGTGGTTTCTGGTGGGGTAGGCAGTCTCACGGTAGTCTGTGGGGTTGGGCACTCCACGGTAGTCTCAGGTTGTGGGCACTCCAGGCGGTTTCTGGAGGCAGTCTCAGCGGGCGAGAAGCGGGCGGGAGTAATAGCTGACTTTAAAGTCTAGCAACCCCACACCGAGGGTGGGAAAAATACACACAAAACCCTCATATATCCTAAACTTCCTAAACCCTGCATTAAACCCTGAGACCCCAAAGCCTCAACCCTCAAACCTAAACGCTGAACTCTACACCCTCTGGGGTCTGCGGCCCTTTGCCGGCAAAGCTCCGTGAGCGCGTTGAAGCCCAAGGACACGATCTCCAGCCTGGGAGCGCTACGGCTCCATGCACCCCATGGGTTCCTTCAAGGGTTCCTTTAAAGGTTCCTTTAAAGGTTCTTTAAGGGTTTAGGGTTTATGGGTTCCTTCAAGGGGTTCCTCTAAAGGTTCCTTAAGGGTTTAGGGGTTCCTTGAGAAGTTCGGTGTTTGTCACCGAGTGATATCCATTCTTTTGGACACCGTGGACTGGAACTTGCTGAGCCGCAGTCTGGATGGCTCACTTGCCCCAACTGGTTTGCGACTCAGCACGCGGAACTCACACTTGTAGTTATGTCAACAACTCGCGTTTGGTTTGCGGCTTCATAGGGTTGTGTGTATAGGGTCGTTTTGGGGTGTTAGGATTTAGGTGGTTTAGGATATTGGTTTGGGGCCTATCTACGAAGCACATTGCACTTGCAGAACACGAATGACTACGATTACAACGACTACTACAATCGGGACGACTCCTTGTTGTAGAAGCCGTATCCAAATGCACGAATAACTCGCCTGTTTCTCTACCTGCCTATCTGCCTCCTTTGACCCTACACTTCCTATCACTCGTCCTCGCCTCTTGTTTTGTTCGTTCTTTCTGTCTTGCTTTCTCTCTCTGGCTCTCTTATCGCCCCTTCGCTTCTTCGTTACCACGTGCCTCGCCTGCGCAATCGTCAGGAACAGCTGGCACCGAAAATGCTGAGATATCTGTCAACCAGTACACTCCAAAAGGGCGGGCAAACATCTTTGGTCGCAGCGCTGTGAGAAGGTCACAGCCCGTCGTGCCTTGCTGAACGGTACTGGGTACTCAACCATACGGCTTATCTATTTCACATCATAGAAGCGAGAAGGCATGCCAAGGTGCGACGACAGCGCTTCCAAGCTTGGCAGGGAGGTGATATTGTTGTGCTCTAGGTTGCACACCACGAGCGCCTTAAAAAGCAGTGAAGAGCTGAGCTATAACTGAAGGATACCACTTGCAATAGGAGTGACTACAAAAGGCCAAGGCAGGAAAATATCGGAACACAAACTGTGGGGTTTAGTATTTGCTTGTTGATGATTAATGGTCTCTTATTGCAAGGAAATATGCGCGGTTTACGCCACGGCACTCCTACTCATAGTCATAGCCACTGTCTGTGGGAACAAGATTAGTCACAATAAAGGTCTACTACGCAGACAACATAGGTAGCCAACGGAGTAACAAGGACGAACGCCTCTACACCAAGGCCCGGGACTCTCCAGCCAAGCGCTAAGCCCTAAAGCCCCTGCCAAACCCTAAATCATGCTAGAACCAGAAGCCTCTGACCCTCCAAGCCCTGAGCCGCATGAGGACCTTCCTGTAACTCTCTTTCCCTACAGTTTAGGGGCCATTACCCCTTAATTAGTAGGTAGAACCCATAAAACTGTAGGTAATTAGAGTCCCAGGTTGAGTTCAGGTTGAACAGATGACTGAAAAGAATCGCTGACGGAGATAAGAGGAGTCCTGAGGTTGAAGCTGCCCAGATCTATGGTTCTGCGGTCAGCGCTTCGAGGTTTAGGGCTTGGGCTTTGGATGGTTCAGGGTTTGGGTTTTGGGTTCTTGGGGAAAATGGATTTGCGGCTTTAACCGTTGATCTCCAAAACCAAAGCCCAAAGTCACTAAAACGAAAAAAAAAGCATCGTTACGGGATCGGACGCCGGCAAACCCGAATCTCGGATTCAGCGGGAGGGGCGTGCATCTTCTCGAGGCCATCCACACTTCGCAGCTGGTTGTTGGATGCCTCGGACATCTGACCAGTTCTCAGGCTTTAAACATACCGCGGGAGGTTTCCTTGCAATGCTGGGGGGGGGGCTCTACAAAAGGCGAAACGCATCGCGAAACAATCCCAGTAGCCTGCAACCTGATCAAGCCTCGAGAACCCAAAACCAATGTGTCGAACTTTAACGTTGCTTCTCAACAGGTTTGTCGAACCTGATTTTCCAGGTCAAAAAGACGGCAACAACATCAACGTCCTGCTACATGGCCGTCACCACAAGCATTGCCATGAGTGCAGCACACATCTTGCCACTGCCTCTATCAGCAAAGCTAGTATTCAGCCAAGCACAGCAAGCCCTAGCACAGAAGCCTCAGCTCTACATAAGCCTTGACACATTAGTATATTAGCCTTAACCCGTACAAAGCCTCATACTGAAACCTGAACCCTAAACACTCAATTCAAACCTCCCAATCCTTGGCTACTGCTCTCTCGGATGTCTCTCATCCAACTTCACCTGCGGATAAGGAACCTAATTTAAGTGAAACTAATGAGGAAGCTATATTATTTACGATAGATCCTTATCACATTATGACCCCCAAACCCTAAGCCCGTGACCAGGGAGTCCTCGGGGTGTAAAAATATCCTGTGGGTCCCGTCGTTCCTCCCCGGACGCGAACCATGAACACCAGAGAGAAACCAGAAGAAGACTACCGACCTACTCTTGATGATATAAATCCTGCATTAATTTCAGGACCCGAAACTATGGGAGTTATGGTATATTCCTTGATATGGGTGAGGCAGGGTTTATGTCAACAGCCGTACCACAAAGCTAAAGGCAGACCCCGACCGCCAAGACACATCGAAGCAAACCCGCAGACCCAGTTAAAAAGGACGGGGCCAAAAGAGGGAATGCATTTTATGGACTGCAGCTATAAAGATTAGGATTCGGGTATAGACAGGAAGGATAGGGCTTAGGGTTTGGGGTAAGGCTCAGAGTTTGGCATACCTATGATTGAGGGGCTCTGGCTCAAAGCTTATCTCAATCAGAAACCTACCCAACAGGCCATCGGAAGCTAAAACCTTTGAGCTCTAACACCTCAAATTGCAAAACCCGTTACACCAACCATCAACAACCCTGAACACCCCCAAAAACCAACATACCCGACAACCCGTTTCCTTTTTCCACAGGCTTGTCGGAGCTCGCCAGTTTTTCACAAACCCTAAACCCCTCAACCCTAAACCCCTAAACCGTAAAAAAGGCCCTAAACCCTAAGCCCCTAAAGCCCTAAACCCCTCAACCCTAAACCCCTAAACCTTAAACTTAGCCCTAAACCTTAAAACCCCTAAAACCCCCAAGCCGCCTTGAGGTTCACCAGCTTCGGCGCCAAACCCAGGTTCGCCAGCTTGGTCAGTCTGTTGTAGCCTCGAGGCATCTGAGATGCAGCTGGCGAGGGCTTTTTTTTGCGATTAGGATTTAGGGTTTAGGACGATATACCATGTAACTACCATGAACTAGTGACGACAGGCCACATGTGCAAGGAGAACACTACCTGCAATGCTTGTGGAAGTAGTAGAACAACCAGCAGTATGCGTGAACGCCCCAACGTCGCCAATGCCGGTGAGGCAGACATGGAAGCTAAACTGGCAAAACGCGTCGCATCCACGCGCCCCATGACGACAACCACAACAGTGAGAAGAACAGTCATGCTCACATG